TTTGATTAGTTTATATATATATATATATATATATATAAATTTTAAATTACACATTCATACTTTTAAAATAACAATATATTTTACTCATGTTATGCAATTTTTGTATAATTGTCAAAACTTCCATTATTAGAAGGAAAAAAAAAAGGGAAAATAGAAAGACGAAAGGACAAATTATACTAAACGTCCCATAGTTTAAGGCTTGTTTCATTTTGATTCAATAACTTTTTAATTGTGACACATTTGACCACAAATTTTGAATCTTATTTCAAATAAGGATAATTGAATATATTATTGCTCAATTTCAAGGGTAAAGTCATCAATTTAATAAAATATAAAATAATTTGACAAAAATAAATGTCAACAAAATATTTTTAAATTTTTGAAAATTATTTCTACCCACCAAAGATAAAATTATGTAAAATTGATAAATCTTTTACACATTTATTTTTTTTTTTACGAAATTAATTTTTATTATGTATTTGGATGATGATCGTGTAATGGGTAAGCGGGGCGATACGAATGCCGCAGACGCAACCGGGGATATTTCGATGTTGTTGATGCAAGATCGATATGTCCTCAGTAGAAACTTCAATCGACGATCATAGATCTGAGATCATCGGCTTGATCGTCGACGTTTGAGCTGGCCGTCTGCAATGAAAAATCAAAAAGAAAACAATCCAGAGTGCTAAATTAATAGAAAAACTCGGTCTTTGAAGCAAATTCAAGGTCTGGACTCTCGGGAGTAGAACGAGATCGTATTGGACGTAGAGAGGAGTGGACTGAGAGAGCATCCATGGAAGAGAAGAGATGAAGAGAGGGTTGTGAAAGGGGATGATCCATTTGGAGAGAGAGAGAGAGAGACACAGAGCAAAAGCAAGGAGGATGAAAGAGAAATTGGAAAGGAGATGGAGATAGGGATGTGGATGGGGATGGGAGTAAGGGAATGTGTGATGAGAAAGCGACGGTGAAGAAGATTTTGGAGAGTGGGATTTGGTCGTCTGCAATTGTTCCAAAGGGGTTATGGCGGTGGCGATGGGAGAAAGAGAAAGAGAGAGAGAGAGAGAGAGAGAAAGTTGAAATGGGTTTCAAGCCAATATTATGGACGATTATGCGATGAAAAATGGGCAAAGGTTCTTGTGTTTTTCTAAATGAGCGCAGGTAAAAAAGCTAGTCTAAGACTACAAGTTTAGGGTAGCCACTTGGAATATAGGAATCTTAGCTGGTAAAACGATGGAATTGGTAGATGTTATGATTAGGAGGAGAGTTAGTATAACTGTGAACGTGAAACTAAATGGACGGGTGAGAAAGCTAGGGAAATTGAGGATACCGATTTTAAAGTGTATTATAGTGGTAAGGATAGATGCAGGAATAGGTTAGAAATTATAATTGCCAAGGGTCTTGAGGAGAATGTAGTGGCGATCATTAGGAAAGGGGATAGGATTATGTTAGTTAAACTAGTTATTGGAGGGAATACAGTGAACGTTATTAGTGCATACGCCCCTTAAGTAGGATTAAATGATCAGACTAAGTGGGATTTTTGGGAGCAAATGGATGAGATCTTACAGGAGATACCCATAGGAGAGAACCTGGTTATAGATGGAGATTTTAATAGTCATGTAGGAATAGATAAACTAGACTATGAAAAAGTGTGTGGTGGATACAATTTTGGTGACAGAAATGAGGCTAGAGAGAGTATCTTATATTTTGCGCTAGCATCTGACCTGGTGACAACCAATACTATGTATAAGAAGATGGAGGAGCATTTGATAACCTTCAAGAGTGGGTCAATTAAAGCCAAATAGATTACTTCTTAGTGAGAAAAGTAGACCGCCTAAAATACAATGATTGTAAGGTAATTCCTGAAGAGAGCTTGGCCTCTCAACATAGGATTTTGGTACTAAATTTATGATTTAGAGGGCAATACCAAGCTAAGAAGGATGGTGGGCATCGTAGGACGAGAATGTGAGACCTAAAAAGGGGTAAATTAGAAATATTTAAGAATAGAATGGATAAGGAAGGTACTTGGGACTTGGAAGATGATACTAAGATGATACTAACACTATATGGAACTCGATGGCCAATTGTATGAGAAGAATCTCAAATGAAGTGCTTGGGGAATCGAAAGGGATGGGACCCAGCTCTCGGGAAACTTGGTGGTGAAGGGAAGAGGTTCAAGCGGTAGTTAAGGCAAAAAAAGAGTACTTTAAAAAGTGGCAGAAGGATTGAACTGAGGAAAACCTTAAGAGCTATAGATTGGCTAATAAGGAGGTCAAAAAAGTAGTGAGAGAGGCTAAGTTGAAAGCTTATGATGACCTATACACCAGATTAGATAGTAAGGAGGGAGAAAAGAGGGCATACAAACTTGCTAAGATAGGAGAGGGAAAAATAAGAGATTTTAATCAAGTTCAGTACATCAAGAGTGAGGATTCTAAGGTATTAGTGAAGGATGAAGAGATTAAGGAAAGATGAAAAAGCTATTTTGAGAAACTATTAAATGAGGAACATGGAAGTATGACAATAGGGGAAAATAAGATCAGTAATACGATAAACCAAGACTATAGGTTCTATCACAGGATTAGCAAGTTTGAAGTGGAGATTGCACTTAAGAAGATGAAATCAAATAAGGCTTTAGGACTCGATGATATCCTTATTGAAGCTTGAAAATATTTGGGTAAAAAGGGGTTGCTTGGTTGACTAGATTATTTGCAAAATTTTGTTGACTAGGAACATGCCAAATGAGTGGAGAAAGAGTATTTTAGTGTCAATTTATAAGAATAAAGGAGATATTCAGAATTGCAACAACTATAGAGGAATCAAATTAAAGTGTCTTGATTCTAGTGCGAAAGTCGATCACTAGTTTGTTTCACATTTTGAATAAGCGTATCCATTAAAAAATCTTCTGTATCCACCCAACAATCTTACACAACTGATTCATAACTAGCATCACATAACCACATTCGAATCAATAAATTTTGGGTTGTCTTCCTAACAATAAATCACGCGTCTTCTTCCCCTCAACATCCACCAAGATGGGTAAGTGATTCGAAAGCCAAGAATAAAAGAGAGTAGACCCTTGCATCTAGAAACTGCTACATCCATTCATCAATAGTAAAAGCCCAATCAAGAAGCTCCTTAATTAATCCCGAAGGTAGATTATTGCACCACATAAACTTGGGCCTAGAGAAACCCAAATCCACCAAAGAGCATTCTTCCATCGCCTCCAAAAACCATCAATCTAAGCTCTTTGCCTTGTGTGTATCCCCAACTTTTCATGAGAGAATAGAATCTCATTAAAATCCCCATGGACCAACCATGAATTAACTGAAAAATGGGCTAACCGCCTCAATAATTCCAATGAATCCCGTCGTTTAGAAACATCTGGATTCCATAAAAACCCGTCAACCTCCAATTGACATCATCTACACCTGAATTGACAATAGTACCAATATGTTCACACGGATAGGTCTTAATTGTTCCTTGAGTATGTCCTTTCCAAAAAAGGGCTAAACCCTCACTCAAACCAACCCGATCAACAAAAAAATCCACTGGAAAAGCCAAACTTACGTTATAACTTTTCTGTCGTAGCCACAGTACACTTGGTTTCCATTAAGAAAACCACTTTAGGATCTTTAGACTTCATAACAAGTTGGAGCCCTCGAACTATTCGTGGGTTCCCAAGCCCACGACGGTTCCAACCTAAACAATTCATTGCTCTCGGCGGAACTGCAGGGCTTCCGCCACTGTTGGTTGAGTTGGTTTTGACACCAAAAAATTGACATCAGTGAGTCAAAGTTTCTTTCCCAACTTCTAATCCATGTCACTACCCTCACTAGCCTTATGACATTGCTTTCCACTTGAGCATCCACTCAGCAGTAGTAGAAGAGAAAGATCGACATGCAATTTAGCAGTACCACGAGCAAGTCGTTTCCACTTTTTCCCTGTATGAACCTTTCCATCTACACCCCCATCATGCTTCGAGCTAAAGAGAGAAGCAGACAACCACCTTTAATCTGGGTCATCTACTAAAGTCTGTCCCAAAGTAGATACTAGTTGGGCTTCTAATTGATCAGAAGAGACCTCCAATTCCTGGCCCATGACTGACTCATGTTGGTTTTCCAGGGAAGTCATCAAAGGCCCGCCACAGCCCAGCCCCCAAACCCAGTCCAGTATCAATAATCATATTACACCCATCTGGTCTCAACACCCCAGAACCGTTATTAGCCCCACTTTTACAAATTTGTTTCTGGGTAGGTAGGATAGGCTTCCCTCTCATAGAGGACAAGCCTAGATCATCGCCATAATCACTATGCAACCCACTCCCTCGCTCTGTTCCTCCGAAATCCTGGGAATCGTGGATCAGAACACCACCCTCTCTCCGCTGAACAGAAACCGCCAAAATGAGACTCCCTCTGTTGGTGAACTCGTCGTTCCGTTCATGAGTTTCCGGCGTTCGAAAACGTTCCCTTTCCATAGTTCTTGCTAGAACATGTATAGTTTAATCTTTGGCCTCTGTTTGTTAATAGCCTAACTTTTGATAATTGGTGATTGACTTAATATTTTCCATATAAGAAACATCTACACTCTCTTTCAAACATTTTCATTTGTGTTCTTAGAATGGAAGAACAAACATGTCTTCCACAAACTTTATTTAGAAGATATAACCTAAGTTTTACTCACTAGGCTAGAATTTAGTATTCATTGCCCTTCCTTTAGCAAAAAGGACTTTATCATTTTTCTTTTCTAATCATACGCTTCAAAAAGAAATAATTTCTCAAGGGTTCAGAGTTCAATTTTGGTACATTCTTATGGATGGTTTCCCATTACTCTATCCCATATATATTGAGTAATTGTTAGCCACAACTACAAAGAATGGCCCTAAAGAAATCAAACACTATGGATTCGAACTCATAACTTATGCTTACCAGTCAAAACTAACCCTTTAGACATGTAAAAGTTACAAGTTTTCTTGACATATGATCCTAACATTTTAATGTACTTACTTGATAGCTTTCAAAAGATAAGTTAGATGCTCGTAATGGTAGGTTATCCTCAGCTCGTCCTCTAACGATTCTTTAAGTGATAAAGTTGGATTGTTTGCTTCAGCAACACCTATTCAAGAGCATAACACAGTTTGAATTGTGCAAACATTGATGTATCAAACTACTCATATATAGCATCCAATGTTAAGAATCAAAAATAAAAAGAAAGAAAGAAAGAAAGAAAAGATTTACCATTTTCAGTGATGATAATAGGTGGATTGCCATAGTTGTGTTTTATATAAAGCACAACCTTCCCAATTCCTTTTGGACATATATGAAGCCAGCTCAAAGCAGTCTACAAAAATCATCCGTACCCATTATTATTGTCTCAGTAAAATAACATAACATCTTCTGTATTTGCATAATTTAGTGGATATATATGCATCTTAAAATCTTATGATAATAGAACACTTTGTAACATGTAATTTATTTTGAAAAATTCCATTAGAAACAAAGAGAGGTTACCGGTTCACCAATGGGAACTCCATTTTTCACATCTGTTAAAAAAAGAAAAAGAAAAAATATATATAATAAAAAGAAACAGAAAAAGATAACCGACAAAAATGAACAAACAAGAAAAAAGTAAATGAATGAACACATTGAACAAGGTAAGCATACCAGAATTTATAACACGATTATCTGTCGTAACGCTTAATTTTGAAATATTAAAGAAGACAGCATTAGCTGCATAAAATGACGTGTAGTAATTTATTCCGAGGAAATCATAAGAGTTTTTTAGTATCTGAGACTCTAACTCTGTGAAGTTGGGCAATCGATTCCCCACCAAAGACTTCATGATTTTGGGATAGTCACCATATGTCATTGGATGTAAAAACCTACACGATTACACTTGCATATAGAGCATTAGATCAATAAAAGTTGAAAGAGACAGATGCAAAGCTTTTGATAAATCACAACAAATCAAAGTAAATATGATCGTCACATACCATCCCAACATGAAATCAAGGGCTCTTTGGGCAGCCTTTTGGTTGGCTGTATTTTTTGAAAATGGAACAATCCACTTGGATGATAATGTAATCCCAATTTCACCCTTTTGAGAAACCTGAATATATTGAGTCAAGAGCATTATATTCATTAGATCACAATAATGTTGGGTTTGTATTTATGAATATGAAATGAATAGAGTTAACAAATTCAAGGAGCATAGTTTTTAATGAAATTGAGTATTTTAAATTGAAATATATTAATAGATTTGAAATTACTTGTGAACATAATTATTTGAAATACTTCCATGAAAGATTTTATTTGTACAAAATTATTATTCGAAAACGCATCTCTCCCATCTTTGTGTCATTCTTTACTTTGGAGTCATCAGTCTACATCCAATAACTAATCTCCTTATAATTTTGTAAAGTTCAGTTTCTAGTAAGTTCATTTCAAACTCCAAAGGGAGCTAAGTTTCAACTTTTTGCGTACAAGACTTATTGTAAAGATATTTACGTATTCATGTTTTGCAGTGCTATTCAAGCTGACAACCGCTTGGATCCGAATAATGTTGTAAACACTGAAGTTTTGAGATGGTTCGATCATCTTCTGATTATTTATGATAAATTAAATTTTCTTGATGGATCGAAATCAAAATGGTCAAAATATTAAAAAAGCAATTGGTCCTACCAAAATCATGGAAGTTAACCTATTTAAATTATAAGTCATATCTAGAGCAAATGGTAAACCCAATTTTGATAGTTGGATCAGTTGGTTGGGTCGACCCAAGGATACGGGACTCAAAAGTACACTAGTCAAAATTCTCCAATGAATGAGGGAGCATTTAAATTCATATCCAAAATTAAATTATTTCTATAAACTAAGAGACAAATTTATCTTATTTTTAGAAATTAAAATCTATTAAATATCAATTGAAGGGGGTTTCCAAAGCAAACACCCCATCCTTTAAGCATATAAATAGAGGCTTTCATTTATAAAAAAAGAGGACATTTGACTGAAGGCTCTGCAAAAGCTCTGAAGCTTTCTTCACAAGTCCTCAAGTTTTTAAGCATCTATCAAGATGCGTAGAAGATCACCAAGCACATCAATGAGGTGTCGCATCTCTTACGTGCATCAAACCCACCAAAGGATTGATTCGTTGTTTGTTCGAGATTAAGCTGTTTAAGCCCTCGATCAAGCTTCTCTCTTCAAGCTTCTTTGTGTGAAGACTTGAAAAAATTCATTAATTTGTTCGATTCAACAATAAGCTTCTACAGTCGTTGGATTGTAACCATACTAGGAGATTGAATTAGAGGATCACCATTGTAATTGGTGTAACCTACAGATAATTGTACTCATTTTATTGTCTTAATTATAGGATACGAAATTTGTGTATACAAATGTAACGATCACTAATTGGTCTTTGTTAGAATGGACCCATAACACTTACCAACAAATGTTTGGTTGAAATATTGATCACATTAGTTGGATTCAAGTTGATTATTAACTTGTATACTCCTATCATTTTCCATTCATCTTTAGATGTTTTCTTTTTCTTTTTCTGTTTTTTTCTTCTTATTTTCCCACACATTTTTTATCCCACTTGACGGGACTCGCAAAAAAAACCTTTTGGGTTGTTGCTTATTTGTGAAATGAAGATTTCTAACTTATTTGTGAATTCGATACACCTTCTGACAGTGTTTTAACATATGTTGTTAAGCTTGATAATGTTGTGTAATTTTAATTTATACCGTAAATTACAAAATATGACTTTTTTTAATCAAATACTTTGAAATACATACCTTATATTTTTCTCTGTACAATGTTACAGCAGCTGCATGAGAAAGGATTAGGTGGTGGCCAACTATATAAGGTTCAGTTGCAGAGTTGCCAGATGTACAATTTCCAATATACTCAGAACATCGACCAGGTGCATAGATACCAGATCCATATCCATATACAGTAAACTCATATGGCTCATTCAATGTCAACCAATGCTTCACTCTGTCACCAAATGTAGTGAAACAAAAATCGACATAGTCCAGATAATCATCCCTGTTCAACATAAAATACGATCTCAATTGAATTATGTGGAGCTTCTTTTTTATTTAAACATAAAACAGGACATTTTATGAGAGTATCATAGAATCTGTGGACCTTGGCGTTGGGGTAATCAATTATCGGTCAAATTTAGCTCAATCCATAAGAAGAGACCTACTACCAAGACACCTAATAGATCTCATCGTGGGCCAAAGAAGAGGTCAAGTTTCGATCAGATTACAACACATAGTCTAGAGCGAGCCAGCGTGCCTCCAAGATTTGAACCTGACTCACCCTATGGAAACGCAATGCGTTGTCCACGAGGCCACCACCCCCGGTTTAAAAAAAAAAAATTGAATTATGTGGTTACATAATTTTCAAGTGTTTTTGATGAATTAAAAGTGGAAAACTCACACAATTTTAGGGCTTAAGAATCCACCATAGTCATCATCGAGGGCTTGAGGAAGATCCCAGTGAAATAGTGTCACATAGGGCTGTAAACCTTTATGATAGAGAAAATTAATCAAAGATCTCACATCGAAACAAACAACGAAAGTAATAATAATAAGATGGGATGATTACCGTGTGATAAAACTTCGTTGATGAGATTATTGTAGAATTGGACACCTAGACGATTCACTCCCCCACTGATTTTCCCCTCTGACAAATTTAAAAAAGAAAAAAAGAAACATATTTGAAAATGCATATAACGGTAATAAAAAGAAATTTTATTTTTTTATTTGCTTTTGATTAAGATGAAATTTTTGTCGGAAATTTGTCAAAAAATAGTGAAGCCAGATAACGTCACGCAACTTTTCCAAGAATAGAACTTTGTAATTCTTTTTTTATTTTTCATTTTTTGCCAAAGTTGAATGTCAAGATACAAGTTATACTAGTTCAAAAATAAAAATAAAAATAAAAAAAGACATGTTATACAACAAAATTAACTTTTTTGCACTACATTTCGTTACTCTCATGTTTATAAATGCAAAAACAAAAAAACAAAAGTTCAGATTTTTTCTTTATCGCACTTTCTACATTTTCATCCTAACTCAACTCATTAAAAAGTTATTAGCCTTTTTTATTTTATTTTATATATCACTTGATAAACGAAAATTTTAGAAAATATCAAGAGACTTGCATAGTATGATGGTACAACAATGCAAGATTAATACAGATTTATGGAAACTCCTCATATGTACCACATACACTTTGTTATTTAATTTTAGATACATAAACTTTTTTTTTTATAACAAATGTTAAATAAAAATTACAAATTTTATGATAATATTATATATAGTATTTTATTTTTAAAATACAAATTATCATAATTATAAAAAAATATATACAATATTTATTATAAAAATATGTAACTTGTACTAAAATAATTATAATAATGTGCAAATAACACTCATAGGTAGTTCGAAGATTCATAGATAGGTGAACCAACATTACTCTTTTCCTATTTTTGCTAACAGCAATGGCATAATAAAGAGCTAGAAAAAAGAGTGTCAAATTTGAAAAAGGAAAATGCCTCCGACCTCCGGTGGGGGTGCTGGGAGTTGTGCGTGTAGGGTCCCGATTGGGCGGAAATTTTATTTTATTTTTATTAATTATAACATTATTAAAATATTATGTATTGATATCTAAGACTAACTAATAACTTCACGTCAAATCTGGCATACATACCGTTAAAATGTGGACAGCTGGTTAAGACTTGTAGCTGTGAATCCTACCTGCCACTTGCTAAGTGGATAGGGTGCACATGTTTTTGAAAAGCAGTTACAAAAGGTTTGGCTTAGGCTGCCGCACGTGCGTTTGAAAAGTCCATCATAGTTTTACATCAAAGTGTGTCAATCTTATTACATCAAAGACTGTCAATTTTATTAGAAAAGGTTTGGTTTTCCTTCCGTATATAATCAGATTCAATAATGATAGAAATCACTAATTTTAGAATTTTAAAAAGACCATTAATAACATAACACTTAATAAAAAAAGAAAAAAAATATAATACTAAAGTTAAAACATCAAATCATTCATGGTGAGACTCATTGTCACATCATTAGTGATAACACTAATTAATGCTTTCACTCATTTTCCAATCAGATTAAAGGATATTATACGACTTACGCCTTGTTTGGTAAGTGATTTTATTAATTAAAAAATTTAAAAATTATTTAAAAAAATTAAAAAAATAATAATTTATATTAAAAAGTTAATTTTTTTTATATATGTTTTCGTAAAAAGTTAAAAAGTTATCCCAAACATACTAATTTTTTTACATTATATTTTAATTTAAAAGCCAAAAATTACTAAAAAAAAGAATATTCCCAAACGAGACTTTTTGAGATTTTTTTTTTAGCTAAAATAGTCACAAAAAATAAAATAGGTTTTTTAACCCAATAAGACAAAATATCACATCTAACCCATAGTCATTACATTCTTTCTCTCACAAAAAAATCAAAAATCATTCCCAAATCAAGCTTTTTAACCCCAGACTAAAATAGCCAAAACATTCAAAAAGCTAAAAAGCAAACTACTTTCCAAACGAGCTCTTATAAGATCTATCACATTATTATTTGATAATTTGAATTGTTTAATGCGTAGAACTCGTTGAATATTATATATTTGAAAAAATAAATCACGTTGATCTGATATCAATAGTTATGTGATTAAACTAATTTTGTATAAAAAAAATAGACGATGAAAAAATAAACAGTTGATAGAAATCTTATCCGATAAAATAGCTATCGATATCCGATAAATATGATCTTTTACAGGTATATCGTACTCGACGAGCTTTACATATTGAACGATTTAAATTATCAAACGGGACCCATGACAGGCCCCACGATCCCAATAGAACCCTTTAATCCAATTACGGACTAATGGGAAGCCAATCCCTATTACAAAATATATAATTTTATTATAAAATTTTATAACATTAATTATAAAATTATGTAACATTATCACAAATTAATGTAATAAAATATCTAAAATTTATGATTGATATTGTAAAAGGTTATAACTTAATTACAATATGTTTTATTATGTCAATTTATGATGAGATTGTGTACTTTGTGGTTGATATTACAAAATTTTGTGAGAAAATTACATGTTTTTTAGTAGTGTGCATATGATATCGTTTGAGAACTTGACTATTTTAATTGCCTTTTTAGCGATTTTAACTTAGTTAAAAAAATTATATTTGGGACGATAAATTTTTTTTTTTTATAGTTGATTTTAAAGGGTCAAATTTTCATAACAAATTAGGAAAAATTATGGGGGAATCTGTATGAAAATAAAAACCTCAGGGGGCAATTTGTTATGGAAATATAAACCTCAGGGGGCGGGATGTAATTTCTCAAACCTCAGGGGGAAATCTGTATTTTCACCAAACCTCGAGGGAGGTGTTTGTAATTTGCCCTATATTTTTTTGGTAAAAGAAATTCCTATTTTTAATAAATTTTTAAAAACGTTTTAGATATACCTAATAATCTATATATAAGGTAAAACATTTGTAAATAAATCTATAAAAAAAAATTAAAAAAATGTTTTAATTTTTATACTTGGTAATTTATTTTAATTTTTTTTAATACAAGTATGCTAGTTTTTAAGTGTACTTATTTTAAGTAGATTAAAAAAATTAAAAATAACAAAATATATTAAAATAAAGTTAATGAAAGAAAGTAAAAAATACAAAAATAATAAACTCAAAATTCAAACAGAAATAATAAGAGCGTGTTATTTCAAACTTGACCTAGCAAGACGTTGACTCTAATCTAAACATTTGAACCCGGACCCGAAAGAAACTCTTAGGGCATGTTTGATTAGGTAGATTAGAGCGTGAGATTGAGATTATTAATCCGTGAGTCCAATTATTCTATATTTGTTTTAATATTTCCGTCTAGGATTATTAATCCAATAGATAATTAATCCAACAAATTTGTAGGATTATTAAGTAATGGGGTAGGGGTGAGATTATTAATCCAATGAATATTAATCCAATTGGATAGTGAATATTACACTAATTTAATAGGATTATTAATACTTCAATATTAGTCTTGTAAATCAAACATGACCTTAAATTCTAAATTTGACCACTAAATCCATTAGATATAGACTATTAACTAATTATTTTATTTATTTTATTTTAGAAATATTAATAAAATTTAATTGTAAAATAAATATGATCTTTTAAAAAAGATTTTAATTTAAACCTTAAAAAAAAGTATATATCTTTATTTTATTATTTTTATTTTTAAAATTTATTTAATAACAAAATAATATATTTAGAATTAAAATTGTATATATGGGCAGAGCGCGGTGGGACCAAGCAAAACGGTGTATCCCAAGTCTAGTCCGAAATGTCTTTTTTGTTATTTTTTTTCTCTCTCCTGTCTTATACATTTAATTTATAATTATTAACCATTAATTGATCCTTTCTAAAAAAAACAATTAATTGATTTAAATTACAATTAATCATCAAACCTTGATTATTTATTCTAATTTCTAACCTTTTAATCTAATTTTAATTTAATTATATTTTAGATTACAATTAACTCTAAATCCTAAATTATTTATCGCGATTCTTAGCATCTTAATCTACTTTTAATTTAATTATATTTTAGATAAGCCCTTAATTTTTTGTTATATTTTAAATCAATCATTAATTATAATTTTATTTTAATTAACATATTAATTGGATTTTAGGTTTGGATAAGATTGGGATAAAATTAACTTATTATTGTGTTTATTTTATTTTATTTTTCAAAATAGCATGCCTATTCTAAAAAATATTGTTTGTAATATAAGTTAATATTTCAGTCCAAAATCACATAATAATTTTCTGACTATATTTAAATTATAAGTGAAAAAAAGAAAAGAAAAAGGAATGACTCTCCTCCATTCTCTTATAGTAAAACTCCGGCCCTCAAACTACGATGGGCAAAAATGTCCTATTATATTTCTCTCGTATAGAAGCCCTCACCACCGTTGATTGTCGCTGAAGAAGGGGTATAGGGGAGATGAGGTGGCGTGGCGGACAGTAGTTGGAATGGCCGCAAGATGGTGGTAGACAGACTGTAATGGTTAATAACCTGATAATTTTTTAAATAGTGTGTCGGTGGTGTTTTTCTTTTTTAATAGTTGGATTGTTTATCTAAAAACTCTTAAATTATCGAAAAATATCATTTTGACTCCTAAATTATGAAAGCGTACAAATATAAAACTTTTAAATTATTGAGAAGTATCGTTTTGCCCTTTAAATTATAAAAGTATACGAATAGATCCCTTAAATTATTGGCGTGTTTCACTTTGACCACTTCCGTTAAGGGTCCAACTTGTACAATTTTTTATAGTTTAGAGAGTCCATTTGTATGCTTTTATAATTTAGGAAACGGAGTGATATTTCACAATAATTTAAGAAATTCATTTGTACACTTTTGTAATTTAAAAGGTAAAAGTAATATTTCTTTAATAATTTAAGGAGTTTCATGTAAATAACCCTTAATACTTAGAGTTGGAGAACCAAATTGATGTATCTAGTAGTATTATATAATTTTGAAATTATACTATGAAATTACTACTGATTTTACATATTGAGGGATTTAATATTTTTTTTTTAAATTTAAATATCAACCGTCCAACTCAATTCAGTTGGACTTGAGTTGTCTTGATTTTTTATTTTTATTTTTGTCAATAGATAGAAGACTAATTACAAATATGATAAAACTAATTTCATATTTAGACGGTCAAAAACTATTCTTTAGAAGTCCTACCGTTAACAATCAAGCAACCTCCATCAGTCTTTTTTCCATAAACTCGAAGTGGAAGTCGAATTCGAACTTGAGACGATAAATCTTATTTTCAAATCATTACTTCTCAATCAATTTATTGAATCTTATTCACAAGTTTTTATTATTGATTTTAGAAATTAAACATGGTCAAATAATTCTTTATATATATATATATAACATGTACCTACTTGTTTATGATAATGGGATTAATGAAAACATTTAAAAATCATCCAAGCTAATTAAATTGGGCAAAAAGATAAGTGGTTTGAATTTTTTTCTGATGTATTCTCTCTCACTTTCAGAATTGCTTTATAAAATGGGAATTTTTAAGCAGACCTCTGATGGCTGCATAGGAGAGAGATGATTAAGAAAAAGGGTGGTGGGGTTGGCCGTGTGGTCACACTGATGAAGATGGGTTTGTTTGTTGTGGGCGAGGATGAGTGCCTTTGATTTGAAAATATCATGGATCCTGTTTGGTTTGTGATTTGGGTGAGCTCTCATTCTATTTTTAAATTAAGGATATATTAATAAATTATACTTGCGTCAACATCATGCATGGGACACATGCTTTTAAATTTGTTTAAAATTTAATGCAATGCACAAATCTAGGAGTAATTATTTAGTAATTTTAGAAAATGAACTCGTAATATTTTATAATATTATGATTGGTGGAGAATGTGATTAGGTGGGTATTGTGTTAGGTGATTAAGGAACATTTAGGGACATATTGAATGATATTTGATTAAGGAGTACAGACACCTATTTACCTTTTTCACTAATCATAATAATATGAAATATCACGTGTCTATATTCTGAAATTACTAAATAATTATCTCTAATTTTGGAGAAATTATTAAACAAAACTAGTGGGTAAATTTGTTATAAATGAGTTTTTAAAGATGAAATTGATAAGGTCTTTTATTTCCACATTAATATTTTTATTCTGTTCAAATATTAACTATCAAATAAATTTTATTGCTTCAATATTAGACTACCAAACAAAGTTATTTATTCGGATATCAAATACACTGTGTTTTTGTTAAATAATTGATATTTAAACTTTGAAATTTTGTTCAAAATTTGTTATTTAAACAAAAATATAGTGCAAGTTGAGAAATTTTGTGATATGTAAAATTGGTGAGAGCGATACTTATTTAAATTGTCCTTTAATTTATGAGGTTCAAACAATTCAGACTGTCTCCTTATTATTTGTTTTCAAACATCATATACTTAGCTTCTCATGTTGTTGCATCAGGTATTAATAGATACAAGTTTTTCATGTGTATATATATAAATTGTTAGATTACTCAAAAATTTAAATTTGAGCATCAAAGAATTTGAGGTGCCCAGGGTTTATCTTGGGATTCGTTTTGATAATCTGAATCGTTCATTTTGTAAGATTTTTCGTATATGTCATCTATGAAAAAATTTGAATCAGTCTGATAATCATAACATTTTCTTTTATATTGTGTTTGTCTCTAAAAAATAAATGATCTATTTTGAAAAACATATTTGTCGTACATTTTTTCAGAGACAAATATAATAAAATGAAAAAGTTTACGATTATCGAATTAATTTAATTTTTTCTATGAAATAGATTAAAAATCTTACAAAATAAATTATTTAAATTATCGAAACAAAACCTACGATAACCGTACTAGAAATTCAATCCATCCCTCATACGCATTTCACGCAATCTATTTGAAATAAATAAAGTAAATGAAGTACACAAATGAGGAATTGTAATTGAGAGTTTCAAGGGTTGAGACATTACTTACTAGGTAATATTCTAGGCCATGATATGGAAAATCTGAAAGCATCTAACCCAATATTTTTCATCAGAAGTATGTCTTTCTGTTAGAACATCCCTTTAATTTTGTTAAAATAAAAAACTACCTAAATTAAAATTCAGTATATGTTGAAATATTGGAATAATTTTTACAAATCAACCATACCTTGTAGTTGTAGCTATAATAAAATTCATCCGCTACGGCCCCTGTACTGTGGTCGTCTATTTTCTCTGCCATAAGACCATAAGATCAGTCAAAACCGCATCACTACTGGGAATATTGTAGTAAAACAAACTAGCTACTCAATCTTGTTGACGTTGTTGAATGCTTCTTCAAGAATTTTTGGTATGTAAATAAGTTAAATTTAAATATATTTTAAATCTTTTTAAAATTTTAAATTATGTTTGAACAATATATTACTTGATTTGACTTAATTATATGCATTATAAAAATTAATACTATTCAAGCTTAACTGGTGATCAAATTGATCATCGTTTGAGATCGACTCAAAAGGTAAATAGTCAATTTTGAACACAATTTTAAGCTAATTAAATTTTTAAGTAAAACTTGAACAACCTATTTTACTCGACTCGACTCGCTTTATTTACCGCCCTAGTTAGGAAGAACTTGGATTACGGAATTGCCCATAACTTCTTTTTTGAAAAGAAAAAAAAAAGAAAAAAATTGTGTTAAAGTGTTTGGTGCTATTTTTATTTATAGCTTATAAGTTGGGAGAACTAATTACGAGAAGCAGATAGAGATGTACTTTTAGTTTTTGTTTTTAATTATCAACTTTTAATTTGTAAAAAGTTACTCCAAACAAGCTTATAAACTTAACAAAAATAATGGAATACTAACATATGTATCAACAAACACATCAACTACACATAATATTAAGTTATTCCAATATCAAGTAGTGAAACCACCTGTAATTCTCGTCTGTTAATTGGTATGTCATTATCATATTTGTTAGTATTTCTAAAGTATAGCAAAAGTGACAACCATAACATCAAATAACAAAATTTTCCTATTTTAATCTCCATCCATTTACATATAAAAACAATAATACAAATTAAAAATAAAAAATACTTGAACAAGAAAATTAATAGTCTACAATCATGGTAGGTGTAGGTCACTTTCAACTAAAATAAAATTCAAATACATTCTCACAGTTCATAACATTTCTGTTTAAAAAATGTTATATCTTCAAAGCAAATATAAAAAATAAAAAATAAAAAATTGTCCATAATTGAATTTATGCTATGCGGCACACTTACACAGAAACAAATTTTGAATAATTTCTTAATGGAAAATGATTCATTCCTTAATTTTATTCCTCCAATTTCATTTTTAATGATGTGAATTAAAGAAGATAAAGATGAGAGAAGAAGAATGTGAAACTGTTTCATATTGGAGGTGAAATTGAAAAACAAAATTAAAAGATAGCTCTGTTTGGTAGAGCTTTTAAAGTTTAATTATACCCTTTAATTTGAGTGTGCTATTTGGTTACAGTTTTAGAAAATTAATTCTACACTCACTTTTCAAAATACTTTTCAAAACACTCACTTTTTAATATCATATGTCACATCACTCAATTCAAACTCTTTTTAAAACTCAAAACTAAACAAATTTTTTACACTTAAATCATAATTTCAAAATCTACAAATTCAAAATATAACTCTATTCTCAAATCATAATTTTAAAACTCTACCAAACACAATGATTTCGCTTTATCAATAGTTTTTTCCACTTTAATGCACGTGGTCGTGCGGATGGTGTACATGTGAGAGAGAGAGAGAGAGAGAGACCTGGATAATTGTTAGTGAAGGTATCCCATATGCTGAGTCCCCTACCATCCTGGAATGCTGCTCCTTCAGACTAAACAAGACATATAAGTTTGAATATCAATGAACAATGAATACAATTTACAAATGATCAAAAGGAACTAAATAAATGGTATTGCTTAGAAGCTCAATAGTTCATATAGCTGTCTCGTGGGACGGTAAGAAAGTCGGAGATTTAAGGTTCGAATTGACGAAGCAACTGCAACCTTTTCTTTTTAATCTAATTTACTAACTTTCTAACTTCCTTATCGTATGCGAAGGAAAAAAAAATAATGTCTATTTTCATAGAGAAAATGCATAAATGGCACACCTGATATGAAGCCGAACTCGCTCCGAATACAAAACCAGCTGGAAAACTGCTCCGGTTGAGCGTCTCCGCTGACTCATAACTCTGTTTTGCACAATCTGTGCTAGACAAAATGCAGGCCAAGATTAGAAAGCTCAAGTGATGAAGACCCCTTGTTGCCATAGTTAACTCTTTTGCTCAATTATCAAAAACAACTAGTATATAATAACAAAACTAGAGGGAGTGATATTTTTTTTTGATCGGCGACTAGAGGGAGTGATATGACGAGTTTGGAACTATTCACTATGCTTGGTTATTAGTTTTTCAAAACACTTTTTTGAAAATTTTATTTTCTTATTTTTCGTATTTTTTTATTTTTACTGAATTTTTTTAATATTTTGAACAAATTTTTTTAATTTTTAGACATACCTATAATAAATATACCTAAAAAGTAAAAAAAATTGAAAAAAATTGTTAAAAAATTCACTAAATACCAAAAATACAAAAAAAATACTAGAATTTAGTATATTTTTTATATTTTTATGTATTTATTAATTTTTAAAAATATTCTTTCACAAATTTTTTACTTTTTAGATACATCTAAGTAAGGTGCATCTAAAAAAGTAAAAAAAAAATTTTAAAATTTTTAAAATATTCACTAAAAACAAAAAAACACGAAAATTAAAAAAATAGTTAACTCTTTTGCTCAATTATCAAAAACAACTAGTATATAATAACAAAACTAGAGGGAGTGATATTTTTTTTTGATCGGCGACTAGAGGGAGTGATATGACGAGTTTGGAACTATTGGTTTTGATTCAAGCATTCGCCATCACACAGATAAAAAGACAAAAGGACTTTTCCTTCCCATTTATTATTGTTGTCGTTCAAAGCAATTCACCAATAATTTTTTTTTTTTTTTTGGGACCAATAAAATTTTTTTAAAAAGCATGACTTTGTAGCAGGGAATGATTTGTAAGTGCATTTATGGTTTTTTTTTTTTTTTTAAGGTTAAAATCTATAAAAAGATAAAATAGACTAAAATAGTTAATAGTATAAAATATCACATTAAACTCATAATCATTTCACTTTTTCTTTTATAAATATCACATCTAATAACAAAAAAATTTAACCATATTTTTAAATATAAAAATTTTAACTTATTAAAATAATTAAAACTTGAAATAATTTAGTAAAATGACCTACTTCTCGAGACCATATGTGCATTGAGATCCGCATGGACAGGTAGTTATTCCACGCGGAAGGGGATGGGCAGGTGACACCCCATACCTTACTACGAGGCCTAGTGTAGCTTTTTGTAATCTAAAAGTTTATAATTAAAAAAGAGAGGTTTAGAGTGCCTCCCTCGTACTTTTTACATAATTACTTTATTTAAGTTAAATGTATCTATAAATTATATATAAAAATAATAAGTGTATCAAATAGTTTAACATAAACTTGGAAAAGAAAAAAAATTATAAGAATCAATTTATTTTTACTTTAATCTATTTACAGGGACTACAAAAATCAATGAATTAGATTCTCAAACTAGAGTCCGTGGTGAAATGGACAGTCCAATCCTCAAAGAGGAGGAGACAAGTGCTGTTCATATATATAACCCTATTTATGTTGTAATTGCTTTGAATGTATCTATCTATACTTTAATAAAAATAAAACGTTGTCTCTTCGAAGTGAAACGTTTAATCTATTTTTCTGCTATTTTTAAAATTTTACAATACTAAAAAAATACACACGTCATTTTGTGATTAGTACAAAATTCAATTTATATAAAATAAGTTATCTCCTCCTATATGAATAATCATGATTTGTTCCCTTTTTGGTCTAAGCAAATTAAAAAAAATAAATAGTATATTGTCGTGTAATCTAGTGAGATAAAAAGCATTAAAAAAAATGATATAAAGCAGTCCTCATTTTTAAATTAATATGATTTGTCACAATATTATTAGTATGGTTCCTTAAATCGCTTTTTTCCTCAAATAGATTACAAATAGGGAATGACTCCCCTCCATACCACTATTTTCCATACTCCTCCATGCTATATTTTATGGGTCTTATTTCGGATCCATAGTGATAAGCCGCGTCGTTCATCTCGTAAATCTCGTAGTGAAGACTATTTGTGCAAAAAATCAGTTTCATCATGTTATGTCCCTTGTCTTCGCAATCCCGTGTTACAAACACATTTGAGCATGTATTTGCTTATTTCAGTGGTATTATTGTGAGATTCTAAGTGTTAGCATGAATCATATTGGATCCTTTAGTCTTCTAAATCAAAATCATTAAAATGCCTAGTTAAGTCTTCATGGACCACTCGAGCGATCAAAGGTGCACTCTAGCGAACTTTTGACCTTTGCAGCATCTCAGATTGAGCTCTGAGATACTGAGAGGCTTCAATTATAGCTCGAGCGATGGTTTGTGCACCCGAGTGAAGAGTCAATTCATTGGTCATCATTGCAGTTTAGGGTTTGTTAGAACTACCTTTTTAGACATACTGTTTGAGTGGTCTATGTGACTTTGTTGAGCTATAACCGCCTCAGATCCCTAATTCTCTGGCGATCTCATCCAATTTTCTCTTTAAAGACTCCAAAAACAGAGTGTGATCTACATGAGAGTGTTTGTTTGATTTCCTTGATGTCTTTGTAAGATTGTCGCATCTCATCGACTAGCTTGCTCACATCAAGGGGCTCTTGTTGAGTCAACCTTTCTTACGTTACATCAGTAGATTCCAAAGGGTTTGAGCTTGGAGGCTTTGGAGAATTTCAAAGCGGCTCATCGTCATGGATTCGACATTAACGTTGTGGAATTAACGTTGGTTGAAGCAATTTTGTGATGAAGATGGCGATGGAAAAGGCACAATAAGTTGAGTTCAATTCGATTGTGAATTCGTTAAATAATAGAGAGATCTCTTGTATGCTTGCATAGTCTTCTTAGTGGATTTTTTTGTTGCGTTGACTCATAGTTTTTTTTTCTTATTTTTTTATCAAAATTGGAAATTATCCAATTGTAATTTTTTCACGTTAAATCGTTTTTGTTTGATTGTCAATCATGTAGGATCAATCTACATTTGTAGTGGCATGTTGATTTAGATTGTTCTTTGTTTGGAGATTTTGGTGATTTGAATTTTATCATAGATCATGAATCACATAACTTAGGTTTTTTACATCAGGTATAAATAGACACATGAACAAATTATATATATATATATATATTTTAACAGACGGTAACTATGAGTTTAAACTTTAGCCACTTTGGAGAATTTCAAAGCGGCTCATCGTCATAGATTCGACATTAACGTTGTGGAATTAACGTTGGTTGAAGCAATTTTGTGATGAAGATGGTGATGGAAAAGGCACAATAAGTTGAGTTCAATTTGAGTGTGAATTCATTAAATAATAGAGAGATCTCTTGTATGCTTGCATAGTCTTTTTAGTGGATTTTTTTGTTGCGTTGACTCATAGTTTTTTTTACTTATTTTTTTATCAAAATTGGAAATTATCCAATTGTAATTTTTTCACGTTAAATCGTTTTTGTTTGATTGTCAATCATGTAGGATCAATCTACATTTGTAGTGGCATGTTGATTTAGATTGTTCTTTGTTTGGAGATTTTGGTGATTTGAATTTTATCATAGATCATGAATCACATAACTTAGGTTTTTTACATCAGGTATAAATAGACACATGAACAAATTATATATATATATATATATTTTAACAGACGGTAACTATGAGTTTAAACTTTAGCCATCTATTTTGTAAAATAAAATGTAATTTGTTTATCTATTCATTGATATTTAATGAAGTTGATTTTTTCACAGATGGTCTTCACTGCGAAGTCTACGAGATGAATAGCTCGAATTATCATTGTGGACCCAGTATGACACCATAAAAAGTATGGGAGAGTTTAGAGGATAATGATATGGATAGTAGCCATTCCCAATATTATTTGGAAGAAAACATATTTTATATAAGCCCATTAATTTTTTTTTATAAAAAATTTGCATTGTGAGTCCCAAATTGAATGCAAAGCTTAAATTTAAAAATTTTCAAGCTTCAATATTTCTCAAATCATTGATCAAATTTTTACAGCAAAGCTTTTTCTTTTCTTTTTTTTTTTAAAAATAAAATAAAAATAAATAAACATTGCAATATGTACAACAACAAAACACAGAAAATATATTGTATGACTAAGATTTTTTTTTTCAAAGTTTGGCTGACAACACAACGAATTTCAACCAAACGAAATATTTTATATGCTTTATATTATGTTTGTGTGCATTTAACATTTCTGTGGGTGTTGAATTTGAATCTCACAATCAAATCGAATCTCTTCACTGAGATCTTGGGAACTAAGTCGTAGAGCACATGTAGAAATAGTGAAGCCCAATACTTGCACATAAAAAGACAACAAGACCGGTAGCTCATCCACACGAGGACACTTCAATGATCAAATGAGTCAAACAATCTCTCAAAGATATTAGCACAAATAAACACACTCGTTTAGAACATACCTTAGACCCATAGGAGTGCTTTCTTTATACAGCAATTGGTGCCCTACTTCCCCTAGAAGTCTTACTTCATGAGACTCTATCTTTTACAATGATATTACTTATTGAAGACTTCTCCTATTTAGATTAGGATCAACTGCCTTAAGTGTCCAACCTTATCCAAATAGGTGGCGTGACATCAACTACGGTTCTTGTTCTCTATCCAAATTTATCAGATTCCGATATCATCACATCATATCTCGGCAATCTAGATTATCCACATGGCACCTCGGCATAACCTAAGCTACGTGGACAACTCTAAAATTATGTCCCCACAACTTCTATTTAAAAACCTTCTAACTTAATCATTTAATTTAGAAATGAGTATATAGCATTGTTCTATTTTTTTTTTCTCTAAACTCATGGCATCTCTCTCTAAGCCTTTCTCCCTAAGCCTTTTGTTGAGTGTGTGACTTGGGGTGGAGAGGGGTTCCGGCCACCGACCTCCTCTTTCCTCCTTCTACCTCATTTTTCTCTTTTTCTTTGTCTTTTTACTTAATAATATTGGAAGCTTATCCTTCCAACCCTTTTCGGCGCCACCACAACCACACTGCCACCAGATCTACCACCTTCCCTCCTTCGTGGATCCACCCTCACTAGATCTACCTCATCTCTTTCAGATCTATCTCGGGCCACCGATGTTACATTACCTCTTCCTGTTTCCAATCTTTAGAATCTAACATTTGGCTTGCACCCAAACTTTCACCCTTGCGCTCAAAACTTTAAGGTTTG